TGCGCTTCCTCTGCTCGGGACAAGGGAGCAGCCGCCGCTTTGAAGCCGCGTTAAATAAAGACATGAAATCCCTGCCCAGGCTCCCCTCCCCCTCTCTTCTTCTTTTTCTTCACCTTTTTTCTTTTTTTTTTCCCCTCTTTGTTTTTTCCTTTTTACTTTTTTTATTCCCCCCTACCAGGGGGGGAATAAACCAGGGAAATCGGGGCCAGGGAGAGGGGGAACCCAAACCCCTCGGGAGGCAGGGAAGGAGCGGGAGGGGGAGTCGCCGTGCCCTGCAGCGGGGGGGATGAGAGGTTTTGGCCCTCTCCGCTGCTGAACTGAGATCGCTTCCCCGTCTGGCTCGGGCAGGGGAGGGGGCAACAAGAAAGAGAGAAAAAATATATAAAATAATGATAAATAAAAAGGAATTAGAGGGAAAAAAGGGGGGGACGGCACGAGATGACCCGCACTCCCGAAAAAAAAATATATATATATACAGCCCTGGGTGCCGATGAAGACCCTACGTACCTCGCGGTGCGCGGGCGGCCGGGGACACTCTCGTCCGGGGCAGGAGCGGGCGCCACTTTCTCAAAACAAAGCGGGGACTTAAAAGGCTGCGCGAGATTTGGGGAGGTCTGAGCCGAAGTGCGAAGGGCCTAGGGCGGGCGGAGAGGGTTCGAGGGGGCAGCCCCGACCGCTGCCCCGCGCTCCGGCCTCGGGGAGGGTCGGGCCGGGCCCGGGCCGCGCAGCCCCCGCGCAGCCCCCGCGCAGCCCCCGCGACCGGCCCGGCGCTTGGCGAGAACCGCCGCGTTTCATTTGCGCCTGGGTCGTTGGCATGTCGGGGACGGGGCTTGGTTGGGTACTATTTCATTTTATTTTTTTTTTATTCCAGATTGCAAAATAGGAAAAAAAGAAAAAAAAAGAAAAAAAAAAAAAAGGAACCCCCAAACCCAGGAAATCTTCAAAAATTACCGGGGAGGAGGGTTTCCTTTGGCCCGGGCGCCGGGGGCAGGTAAAGGCAGGGCACGGCACTAAGCGACAAACTCCCGTCTCACTGCGGGGACGCGGGGCAGAGCAGAACTTGCTTTATAGATGGAGCCTTTTTTTTTTTTTTTTTCCTTATTTTCTTTTGGTTTTTGGCTTGTGGTGAGCGCCTTAGCAGAGCCATTCCGGAGAAAATCGCTTCGCGGTCTCTGGGGGGTCTTTGGGCAGAGTTAGGAGTGAATTTTATGATTAATAATCGTAATAACCGTAATCATAAAAATTAGAAGAGCCGCTCGGGATTGCTTTTCACCTTAACCGCCGTGGAAGAGCTGGAGAGGCAGCGCCGGGGGTCCCGTCGCCGCCCGGACAAGGGGGTGATGAGAGCGGAGCCCGTGCGGCTATTGGGGTCCCACTGCAGCCCGGGCGCTGGGGGAGTCCGGGGAGGGTCGAGAGACCCCCGCACACTTCGGATTTGCCCCCAGGTCGCCTTCAAGGTCCGCGTCGGAGTGGTCTGGAAAGGGCTGGACTGGGCGGTGGGAGCCCAAGGGGAAGCGCAGGGAGGAGAGAGCGATTTGGGGTGACGTGGGGCAGGGTGGGGAGGGAGACGGAGGTCGGGAGTGCGGGGAGCCGGGGCCCCCCGAGCCCCGCACGGCGCCCAGCKCCGGCGCTCGCTGCAGCGGGGCAGGGGGCGGCGGGGTCAGGCGGGGAGGCGCCGGGGCCAAGGTCAAGTTCAGCTCCAGCTCCAGCCGGGGAGGATGCACGAACCGGGGGGGCGGAGAGCGACCCCCGACGGGACAGCAGCGCTAACGGCTTCGGTCAGGCAGGAGGCTCTCGGGGAAAAAAAAAAAGAAAAAAAAAAAAGAAAAAAAATGCGCATCCCGAGCAGGGGGTGAAGGGAACCCCTCGAGTAAGGCCCTGCAG